GCCTCGCGCCGCGCCGCGGCCCCGCCGCCGCGCGCCGCGGCCGCGGCCTCGCGCCGCGCCGCGCCGCCGCCGCGCGCCGCGGCGTCGCGCCGCGCCGGCTCGGGCCCGTCGCCGGCCCCGGAGTCGTCGCGCCGCCGGGCCGGCTCCCCGTGGTCGCCGTCGCGCCGCCGGCCCGCGTCGCCGTCGTCCCAGTCGACGCGGAGCGCGCGGCCGGCGACGCGCGTGCCCGCGAGGCGGACCGCGCGCGCGGCGCCGGCCTCGTCCGCGAACCGGAGGTAGGCGATGCCCGGCCGGGGCCGCCGGAGCGCGGCGAGCGCGCCGCAGCCGCCGCCGGCGAAGACGCGCGCCAGGGCGTCGTCGCCGAGGCCGAAGGGCAGGTTCCCGACGAAGACGGTGTCGACGGCGGCCGGCGGCGCGCGCGCGCGCGGCTCGAAGGCCTCGCAGTCGATGGTCCGCTCCTCGCCGCCGCCGGCGCGGACGCGCACGGACGTCCGCGCCGCCGTCGCCGCGTCGTCCGGGTCCTCGAAGACCGCGTAGGCGACGTCGCCCGCGGCGACCTCGACGGACGCGAGCGCGCCGAACGCGTCTCTGAGCACGTCCCGGAGGTAGGCCGCGTCGGCGCCCGCGGGCAGGTGGCGCACGACGACCTTGCGGTCGATCTCGTAGACGACGTCGGGGCTCGCCGGGTTGCGCCACGACGACTCGATGGCGTAGTTCGACCGCCGGTCCGCCCAGCGGTTATTGCTCGTCTTCGACCGCGCCGCGAGCGCCGCGGGTCGTCTCCGGGGTGGTGGGGGGAACGGGAACGCGATCGCGTCGCGCAGCAGGCACGCGCACAGCAGGAGCGTGCGCATCGCCGCCTAGAACAGCTCGAGAACGCGGAAGAGGCCCATGCTGCTCGCCCAGCTCAACGATGGCTTTTGTACGGCATGTTGAGCCTATGTTGCACCCGCCGCCGCTAGGTCGAGTACGTGCCACGACGAGGGCCGAAGAGCCGGGTGCGTGTCTCGGTCTTCGGCGGTTCCTGCGGGAGTCGCGCCACCGTCGGCGCGCCCGCGCGTGGTCCGCGGCCGACGGCGGCCGCGGCGCGCGCCGCCGGGCGCGAGCGCGCCGCTTCGACGCCGGCAGCCGCAGCCCCGCGGCCGCGCGGTCGCCGGACGACGGCGAGGCCGGAGGTAGGCGTGGCAGCAGGCCGGCCGAGGCGTGCGTCCGCGCTTGTCCGAGACGGTGTCTGTGTAGGCCTTCCGACCGAGGCATTATTTTGCTCGATTGTCATCGGATTATTATCGACTACCCTGCTGGGCGCCTCCCGCCCTGTGAGGTCCCTCCCGTCCTCCCGCGGTTCCTCCCCCCCCCCCCCTACGTTTAGAGACGCATCACGGCTATGGGCGACTCGTACGCGTCGTCCGAGAGCTCCGAAGACGGGGCCTGGGAGGTGCGCCCGCTCTTCTCCGGCGACGCTCCGTCGACGCCGCCGCCCGCCGAGGCCCCGTGCGCGTTTCCGACGACCCTTCTGCGGCGCCCGAGCCTCCGCTTCGCCGCCGCCCTCGCCGTCGCCGCCGCGATCGGTCTGGCCGCCCGGCGCCGCGCGCCCGGGGGCGGCCCCGCGTCGACGGCCCTCGCGGGCGCCGCGCGGCGCGAGGCGGCGTCGCGGACCATGCCCCACGTCCTCCACGTCGTCCTCGACGACGTCGGCTGGGACGATCTGTGGGAGTCGCGCGACCTGCCGCCGGCCGTCGTGTCGCCCACGATCTTCCGCCTCGCCAAGGAGGGCGTCAAGTTGACGTCGTACTACGGCCAGAGCTACTGCACGCCCGCGCGCGCGGCGCTCCTCACGGGCAAGTTCGTGCACCGCCTCGGGTTCGCGAGCCCCGAGGCGGACTACTGGGGCCCGCTCGAGGTCGTCGGCGACGCGAACTACAGCGTGCCCCTCGGCCACGAGCTCCTGCCGGCGCATCTCCGGAATTTAGGCTACGCGACGCACGGCGTCGGCAAGTGGAACGTCGGCCACTGCGCGACGGAGTACCTGCCGTGGAAACGGGGCTTCGACACGTTCCTCGGCTACTTCAGCGACGGCATCCACTACACGACGCACGCCGTCGACGAGTACGGCGGCGGCGTCATCTCGGCCGACGACGACGCCGTCGACGAGGCCCACACGCTCGCGGATCTCGTCTACTACGACGGCGACGACGCATCCTTCCGCTGGGACCGCGGCCTGGACTTTCTCGGCGAGCACACGACGGCCGTCTTCGCGCGCGAGGCGCTCCGGCGGCTCCGCGGCGGCGGCGACGCCGCGAAGTACGTCTGGCTCGCCTTCCACGGCGCCCACGACAACGAGGGGAGCCTCGAGGGCGTGGACGTCGACGACGACGCGTTCGACGGACTGGCGGAGACGCTCACCGCGGGCCGGCTGGCCTTTGCGAAGAATCTGCGGTTCATGGACGACGCGATCTTCGGCCTGAAGCGCGCGCTGCTCGACAGCGGCCGCGACTTCCTCGTGGCGGTCCACAGCGACAACGGCGGCTTCCCCTGCGCGCGGTACCTGGGCGGCAGCAACGCGCCGCTTCGCGGCGCGAAGTTCGACTTCATGGAGGGCGCGCTGCGCCTGCCCGCGCTGCTCTACTCGCCGACGCTCCTGAGCACCGTGGCCCGCGGCCGCGCCTACAACCACCTGTTCCACCACGTCGACTGGCTCGCGACGTTCCTGTCGGCGGCGACGGCGACGGCCGCGCCCGAGGTCGCGGCGAAGCTCGGCCCGGGCTACGACTCCGTGGACCACATGGGCGCCATCAACGACGCCCAGGTCACGGGCCCGCGGACGCGCGCGCCGGCGTCCCGGAGGAGACGCGCGCGCACGCGCGCGCGTCTCGAGTCGACGAGCGCGCCTCGAGAGAGAGGGAGCGCGCGCGCCCCGAGAGCGCGCGGACGAGCGCCCTGAACGCGCCCCGAGAGCGCGCGCCCCGCACCGCGCCGACGCGTCCACCGAACGCGCCGCGCAGGCGCATCCTCTTCTCCGTGTCCGCGACGGGCTTGGTGGTCCGCGACGGCGACTACAAGCTCATCCGCGAGTACGGCGACTCGGGCTGGTTCGAGCCGGACCTCGACGCGTCGGGCTTCTCCCGCGAGGACGCGAAGCGCGTCTGCTTCGAGGGCGACGAGCCCCAGACGTTCCTCTTCAACGTCCGCGACGACCCGGAGGAGCGCGCGAACGTCGTCGACGCGCTCCCCGACGTCGCCGCGCGGCTCGCGGCGTACGGCGACGACGCCTACCGGGACGAGTTCTTCCACTTCCCGCTGGAGCGCGCCTGGATCTTCCACGAGCTCGACGACGAGGAGGCCGCGCGGCTCCGCGCGACGTGGATCGACACGTCCGACGACGACGTCTACCGCTTCATCGCGCCCTGGGGCTGCATGCTCGTCTTCGACGACGGGTCCACGGCGCCGGGCGGCGCCGGCGTGCGCCTCGAGGACACGCGCGGGCCGGGGTAAGGGTGCTGGCGGTTTTACTTCTTCGCGCGCGCGCCTTCGCGGATTGAGCGTGTCCTCGGGCTTGGGCTGCATGCGACTCGGACGACGGGTCCGCGGCGCCGGGCGGCGCCGGCGTGCGCTTCGAGGACACGCGCGGGCCGGGGTAAGGGTGCTGGCGGTTTTACTTCTTCGCGCGCGCGCCTTCGCGGATTGAGCGTGTCCTCGGGCTTGGGCTGCATGCGCCGCGACTCGGACGACGGGTCCGCGGCGCCGGGCGGCGCCAGCGTGCGCTTCGAGGACACGCGCGGGCCGGGGCGTAAGGCTGGCGTTCTTCGCGCGGGGCTTCGCGAACGCACACGGCGTACCGCCCGCCCCCCCCTTGTCGTCGACATCCAAACTTTGAAACTCGCACGCGTCGTCGTTATACACGTGCCATTGGCAAAAAGAGAGATGCAGGCAAAAAAAAGTATGGAGGGCGGGGTTCGAACCCGCGCCCGAAGACTGGTGCCTAAAACCAGCGCCTTAGACCACTCGGCCACCTCCACTCTACCACTGCGCACTGTGGGGTTTGAACCCACGCATCCGAAGATAATGGGGCTTAAATCCATCGCCTTAGACCGCTCGGCCAAGCGCGCTCCAACCCACGACCTCAACCCAAAAATCATCTCTGCGGGCCTTCGAGCGGCCAATAGAGCAGCCGAATCCTGGATGTCGAGACATGTGTAAAGAAAATTCTAGCGAGTAGTGAGATATCTGAAGCATGCCTTTCATCGCCCGCAATCGACGCCGGAACCCCGCTCGCGCCGACTACAAAAGAACCTCCAACGCCACGTTTACCGCCGCCCCTACTTGGACACGTTGAACTTGAACTCGATGATGTCGCCGTCCTTGACCTTGTAGGTCTTCCCCTCCTGGCGGTACTTGCCGAGGGCCTTGAGGTTGGCCATCGTGGGCTTGCCGCCGCAGTGCTCCTTGAAGTCGTCGAAGGCGCAGAGCTCGGCCTTGATGAAGCCGCGCTCGAAGTCGCTGTGGATCGCGCCCGCGGCCTGGGGCGCGAGGGAGCCGTCGTAGATGTTCCAGGCGCGGACCTCCTTCTCGCCGGCCGTGAAGAAGTAGATGAGGTTGAGCTCCTTGTAGCCGCACTTGATGATGCGGGGCAGGACGGATTTCGCGCCGCCGTTCGACTCGACGATGGCCTTGACCGCGTCGGGCCCGCCGGCCTTCTTCGCCTCGAAGAGCTCCTCCTCGTACTCGACGGAGAAGGGGATGGACGTGCCGCCGCCGTGGGCCTTGATCCACTCCGCGATCTTCGGCAGCCACTTGGACCGCTTCGCGATGTAGTTCTTCTTCGAGAGGTTCACGAGGTAGACGATGGGCTTCGTCGTGATGAGCGCCGGCGCGCAGACCTTGAACTCGGCGATCTCCGCGTCCGTGAAGCCCGCCATGAACGCGGGCTTGTCGTTCGTCAGGTGCTCGACGATCTTGTCGCGCGCGGACAGGTACGCCTCCGTGAGCTTCTTGGGCTTGACGCCCTTCTTGATGGCCTCGTGGGCCTCGATCTGCTTCGTCACGTACGCCAAATCCTTCTTGCAGAGCTCGGACTGGATCGTCTCGAGGTCGCGGACGGGGTCGATGGAGTCGTCGACGTGGATGACCTCGTCGCTGTCGAACGCGCGGACGCAGTGGTAGATGCCGTCGACGGCCTGGATGTGGCTCAGGAAGGCGTTGCCGAGGCCCGCGCCCTCCGACGCGCCCTTGATGAGGCCCGCGATGTCCGTCACGAGCAGCTTCGCGGGCACCTTGCTCGGGGGTTTGTAGAGGTCGCAGAGCCACTTGAAGCGCTGGTCCGGCACGCCGCACTGGGCCTCGTTGGGGTCGATGGTGCAGAAGGGGAAGTTCTCCGCCTGGGCGCTCTGGTCCGTGAGCAGGTTGAAGAGGCTGCTCTTGCCCACGTTGGGCAGGCCCACGACGCCCATCTTCAGCGACGTCTTCACGCGCCCCCACTTGGCCGCGCCGGCCTGGCCCTCCGTCGTCTCCACCTTCTTCGGCGGCATCCTCCGCGCGACAAGTCCGCGAGCGGTCGGCGGCGCGGCGCTGCGCGAAGGTCTGCGAGCACTGCCGGCGACGGCTGCGGCGAGAGCTGAGTCGTGGTCGTGTTGCCGGCGTCGCCGACATCATGATCAGCTCGGCCTACAGCCGTACTGTCAGGCCTACCGTCGCGGCAGGCCTCGCGGTACCGCGCGGACGACCGTCGTCATCGTCGTCAACGACACGGCGCGCGTCGCTCCGGTCGGAAATCACGGTCACGCCCTTAGCAGCCCCGCGCGCGTCGCGATCTCGTGCTTGCCGTCGCGGCAGTCGAGCAGGAGGTGCGCGAGCGACGGCGGCGCGGCCATGTCCGCGCCGACGCCGAGCACCGGCGGCCGGGGCTCGTCGAAGACGTCGAGGTCGCCGCGCGTCCACTCGTCCATGCCCCAGGTGCCCGCCTCGGCCGTCGCCGATCGGCCGTCGGCGGCGTCGCGGACGAAGAGCGTGACCGCCTCCCGGAGGCCGCCGCCGGGCGCCTCGCGCGCCTCGCGCGCGCAGCCGAGGACGACCTGGGGCCGGCCGCGGATCGCGCAGAGCGACGCGCCCTTGGGCACCTCGCCGCCGCCCGGCGCGGGCCAGTCCAGGCGCGGCGCCTCGTAGTCCGCGGGCACGACCCTGCGCACGACGCCGGGCTCCAAGAGCGGCAGCGGCAGGCTCGACGTCCACGGGCCCGCGCGATCCGCGCCGCGGAGCAGGGCGGCGTCGCCCGCGGCCTCCGCCGGCAGCAGCGCCTCGACGTTGGGCGCGGCGAGGTCGCGCGGCGCCACGCGCTCCGCGACGGCGTCGCCGCGGAGGCTATGCGCGCCGACCTCCACGAGCACGCGGCCGCCGGGCCCCCGGGCCGGCGCCCAGCCGCGGCCGTCGGCCCGGAGCCGCGGGAGGGCGACGGCCGCGAGGCGCGTCACGCGCACGCGCGCCAGGCCCCGGCACGTCCGCTCGAGCGCGCGCCGGCGCGCGAGCTCGCGCGGGTCGCCGCCGAACGCCGGCGCCGCGTCCGCCGCGGCGAATTTGCCGAGCTCCCCGACGAGCGTGCGCGCGTCCGCGGCGGCCTTGACGAGGGGCGCGACGTCCGGGCACTCCGCCGCGAGGCGGTCGCAGTGCGCGGCGAGCTTCGCGGCGTCGACGAGGAGCACGTCGCCCTCCTTGAACGGGAGCAGCGCGAGCCGCGGCGGGTCGTGCCACGCCGCGCGCTCCGCCGGCGGCGCGCGCGCCGCGTCCCAGACCGCGCTCCGGGCGCAGGGCGCGAGGTGGGCGCCGCAGACCAGGGGCTGCACGCGCGCGTCGAGGAGCGCGCGCGCCTCGTCCGCGTGCCGCTGCCGCTCCCACTCGAGCGTCGCCGCGCAGAGGCCGTGCCAGGCGCTGCAGACGAGGGCCGCGGCCCGCAGGGAGCTCCGGCGCACCTCCGACGCGCCGTCGCGGAGGCCGCAGTTGCCCGCGTCGATGGAGTAGCAGAAGCCGTGCGTGCCGAGGACGACCGCGCCGAAGACGTCGTGCAGGCCGCCGCCGCGCTGCAGCGGCGACGGGAAGCGGCGGCGCGGCGTTTCGGCGGCGGCGAGGCCGCGGGCCGGCGCCGCGGGGCTCCAGCTCGGCGACGACGGCGCGAGGATGAGGGCGCACTCCGAGCCCGCGTCGCCGTCGTCGAGCTCCTGCTCGCGGAAGGGCACGGGCGACGAGCGGCTGTGCTTCGTGCAGGATTCGGGCAGGGTGATGGAGGCCGATCGGCCGCGCTTGCCGCCGATGGCCATGGTGTCGGATGGGCTGCCGCTGTCGACGGGTGCGGTGTATGACACTTTCTAACTTGGGAAAAGGCTCGAAAGGAACCTCGATTCTTTCGGATCCAGGCGCAAGCGAATTCCACTGAATCGAAAAACACGATAAAGCCCTTCCTTGAAGATATTGTATCGGTATGGTGCGGGGCAGCATGGGCTGCTTACCTCGACGATGAAGGCTGCGGCAATATGGGTGCTGCCGCAGCGACCTGCGTGACACGAAAAGCGTGATGCGCTGCTCGCGAGACTAGTCGCACGGCGGAACCACTGCAGTGATCCATGCTGCGTCTCGTCGCGCTCGCGACGCTCGCAACCGCCGCGACGAACCCGTGCGGCCGCGACGTCGCGTGGATCGCCACAACGAACGCGACGGCATCGCTCAACGCGACGCTCTTCGCGCCGAGCGCGCGCGGCGACGCGCCGTCGGCGGCGGCGCTGCGCCTCGGCGTCTGGCGCGAGACGTCGAACGCGACGGCCTGCTGGGCCGCGCGCCTCCGAGCCGAGCTCGCGCTCCGCGGCGCGACGGTCCGGCAGGACCTCGCGCGCCACTTCGCCGCGGCGACGGCGCCCGGCGCGCTCCGGGGTACGGGGCCGGCGAACCCGTTCGCGACGGCTCGCGCGAGCTGGACGTCGCGCCGCGGCGACGAGGCGGCTCGCCGGACGTCGCGCCTCGACCGCCGCGACCGCGCGACGATCTACGCGGTCCTCGACGCGTACCTGCCGCGCGTCGGCGTCAACGGCATGTTCGAGGCCTGGTGCGAGCTCAAGCGGTCCATCGCGAGGCCCGCGGGCTGCGAGGGCGCCGACTGCGCGTCCGAGTCGTCGTTCCGCGAGAACCACGTCTTCGCCGCCTACGTGGGCTACGTCGCCGCGGAGCGCCTCGGCCCGCCGGCGCTGGGCCTCGCGCTCGACGCCGCGGAGCGCGTCGCCGCGGACCGGCGGGCCGACCCCGACTGCGCCTTCGTCTTCGGCTCCGGCGCGTTCCACGCGCACGGTTTAGCCTGGGGCGGCATGCTCTCGGCCGCGCGCGTCGCGGGCGGCGACGCCCGAAGGACGGCGCGCTTCATCGAGGGCGCGTGCGCCTTCCTCGACGAGACGACGAACGCGTACCACGCGTGCGTCCACGGCGTCGGCCACGGCGCGCTCCAGGTCTTCCGGCCGCGGCGGCCGGAGGCGGGCGCGTGGCGGGGCTTCTTCGACGGGCCGCTCCAGGTCTGCGCGGCGCTCGCGGGCGGCGCCTGGTTCCGGCTCAAGTGCGCGACGGGCGTCTTCCACGAGGCGTCGGTGGACGCGACGGCGCCGGGCTTCGACGGCACCGACGGCCTGCTCGAGACCTTCGCGCCCTGCGGCGGCCTGCCGGACGTCGTCGCCGGCGCGGCGTCGACGTGCCTCTGGGCGAAGCTCAAACCCAAAGCGAAGCGGCCCGAGAACCAGACGCTCTTCGCCAACGAGGGCGCCACCGACCCGTGCCTCCGCTGCGAGGCGTCCGGGCCCTGCGACCGGAGCTTCCTCCCGGCCTGCGCGTACGCGGAGGCGTCCGTGCACGCCGCGGCGCGCGGCGCGGCCGGCATCGACCACCCGCACTACCCCGCGGAGGTCTGCGCGGCCTGGGACCCGAAGCAGCATCGGCGCGCGTTCCTCGCGTGCGTCGTCGGCGCGCACAACGCGCAGCCCGACGGCCGCGTGGCGCCCTTCACCAAGGGCCGCGGCGCCGACGAGGGCGCGCTCGACTTCGACGACCGCCTCGCCGCGTTCCGCGCGGCGCGGCCGCCGCGGCGCGGCCGCGGCGGCCAGCGGCCGTCCTGCGCGGGCCTCGACGACGAGGCGGCCCGCGTCTGCGCGGCCGCGGCCGCGGCCGCGGGGTCCCTCGAGGCGCCGGAGCTCTTCGACATCGTCGCCGCCTTCGAGCGCGACGCGCGCGGCGCGTACTAAACGGGGGCGCTTGACGCGCGCGGGGCGTGCTGAACGGGGGCGCTTGACGCGCGCGGGGCGTACTAAACGGGGGCGCTCGACGCGCGCGGGGCGTGCTGAACGGGCAATTAGGGCGGGGCGGGGCGCGAGGAGGACGCTCAGTAGGACGCGCGGCGGCTCGTCGCCGCGGCGCGGACCTTCCGGCGGAAGGCCGGGCGGCACCGCGGCGCGCCCGTCGCCGGGTCGTGCTTGCGGAGGCGCTCCGTGCAGAGGTCGACGGCCTGGGCGTCGAGGAGGGGCACGCCCTGGGCGTCGATGAGGAGGGGCCGCTCCTCGGGGAGCGGCGCGAGGGGCAGGTCGCCGAGGCCGCGGTCGAGGCGCGCGCCGCCGGCCGGCGGGCCCGCGCGCGCGCCCGCGAAGGTCGCGCCCAGGTTCGCGCGCGCGCCCGGCGGCGCCGCGAAGGGGTCGCCGTCCTCGAGGCTGTCGTCGCCGCGCCGCAGGGGCGGCGAGTCGAGCGCGTCGTCGTCGTCGTCGTCGTCGTCGTCGTCGCCGTCGCGCGGCGCGGCGCCGGGCTCGGCCATGAAGTCGTAGCGCCAGCTCCAGGCCGGGTCGTGCTCGTCGATGGTGCCGCCGCGGAGCGTGAGGGACCAGTCCCGGGGCGCGTCGCCGTCGTCGACGTCGACGGCGTCGCCGTCCTCGGCCGCGCGCGCGTCGACGGCGTCGTCCAAGTCCTCGAGCGCGCCCGGCGCGCCGCCGTAGACGTCGGCGCGGTCGTAGGCCGGCCGCGCGCCCCAGGGCGCCTCGTCGTCCTCGGACTCCAAGGTCGGCGGGCTCGCGAGCGCGCCGTCGTCGTCGCCGTCGTCGTCGAGGTACTCGAGGAGCTTCGTCCGCGTCACGCAGCGCCGCATGAGCGCGTCCTCCGCGAAGGCCGGCGCGACGGCCGCGCCGACCTCGTCGGGCGACTCGGGCGAGAGGGACCGCGCGCCGTGGGCCGGCGGCGACGCGGACGGGCAGCCGCCGGGCGACGGGTCGACGATGACCGTCTCCGCGGGCGACGGCGCGGCGGCGGGCCGCGCGCCCGGCGTCGCCCCAAAGGGCGCCATGGGCGGCAGCTCGTCGGGCGACACGGCGGCAGCGTTCCCCGGCGGCCGCGGCGCGCCGTCGCGGCGCCGGCGCTCCGCAGCCTTGCGCTCGCGCTCCTCGGAGCCCGGCGTCAGCGACGTGAGCACGAGGCCGCCGTCCGCGTCCGCGCCGCGGCGCTTCCGCTCGCTGTGGCGGCGCCGGTG